TGGTTGTGAGCCACCATGTGGTTGCTGGGAATTGAACTCAGGACCTCTGGAAGAGCAGTCAGTGCTCTTAACCTCTGAGCCATCTCTCCAGCCCCCTTGATTTTCTTCTGACTGGCAAGAATTTGGGGCTGGGGAGATGGCTCAAAAGGAAAATGAAGCACTTGCTGCACAGTGTAAGGGCCTGAGTTCGAACCCTCAGAACCCATGTAAAGTTGGGTATGGTCGTGTGCATTTGCAACCCCAGTGTTCTTACAGAGGCATGGAGGTAGAGAAAGGTAGAAAACCCTTTCCAGTCAGCTAGCCTGTGAGATGCAGCCAGCAGAGTGGCGAAGAAACCCTATTTCAAACAAGGCAGAAGGCAAGGACCCACATCTGAGACTTCCTCTCATCTCTACATGTGCACGTACATCATGCACGCACCTCTCTCTCTTACACACACACACACACACACACACACTCACACACAAAATAACACAAAAGTTGAGAATCTTGGTATTGCTAAAATCAATCCTATAAACTGAACGAAAAGCTAGTTGATTTCTTAGCGAAGAGAATACTAATTGATCTAATTAAGAAATATAGTGAGACCATGTTCACACAACACTGTGTTAAAAAAAGTCAGGCATGGTGGCCCACACTTTCAATCCCGGCACTTGGGAGGCAGAAGCAGGTGGATCTCTCTGAATTCCAGGACAGCCAGGGCTACACAGAGAAACCCTGTCTCAATCAATCAATCAATCAATCAATCAATCAATAAAAAAAGCAAACAACAAACAAACAAAAAACCTAACGGTTCCTAGATTCTTGTCTTGCTTTTTCCCTTTCTCCCCCCACCCCTTTTTTTGTGGGGATACTTGGGGACAGAACTCAAGGATCTTCATATCTTGTCTTAAATTCCTTTTTTTTTAAAAAAAAAAATTCATTTATTGTATATGTATGTGTACATGCATATGTGCCACAATGCATGTGTGAAGGTCAGGGGCAGGCAGATCTCTGAGCGTGAGGCTAGGCTGGTCTACAGACTGAGTTCTAGGACAGTCAAGGCTACAAGAAGAAACCCTGTCTCAAAAAAAAAAACCAAAAACCAAAAACCAAAAACAAAAAAAGAAAGAAAGAAAAAAATAAACAGTTGTGTTAGTGGTCTGGGTTAGTTAGCCAAACTTGGTTTTTTAAATCAGTGGTACCTAAAACCCACTGTCTTATGAGTGAGTGGCTTATAGAATTTAAGAGGAACTACCATCTCAATCCTCAACAGAGGAATGGTCCTGAAAAGAGGAAACAGTTCCCTCAAGAGTGGGAGGACCGTCCCTTAAAGCTGAAGTTCTCCATAGTACTTCTGCTTTCCTGTTGGTCACGTTCTCCAGGGCAGGATCTAGGAGGCTCACTCACAGTCATGAAGTACTCTGGCTCTAACAGGCAGGATTTCCAATCCTAACTAAGTCATTAAACTTTGACTTTTCCCAGAAGCAAGCAGAGGAGGAGGAGGAAGCCAGAGGTCAAGACCCTTACAGCTTCAAACACACTCAGGGCCCGGCTGGGACCAGGTTGGTGATCAGTACATGCAGCACTTGGACAGCTAAGGCGGGAAGAGAAAGTTTGAGGCCAGCCTTGCTTCAAACAAAGAAAGAAAGAAAAAACAAACTTAGGTCCCAAGCAGGGCTGATTCATCCAGTCAAGATGGAAGCAAGACCAGCTACACCAACAGGTGAAGTAACCCTTCCAGCAGAAGAGAAGGTATTTGAAAGAGATACTGCGCTATCAGACCACTCCAACAAGGGACCCCAATGGCTTGGGCTGGGGGCGGCGTGACACATTGGTGCCAGGAAGAGATTTCACAGTTCTGACAACTCGTCAGACCACCTTGCAGGACAGACCTGAGCTGACTACCTTATTATTCATATCTCTTGCCCTTGATTTCAATACGAACCTCTTAAGAGTACCCCAAAGATTGATGAGTGGTTCCTTTGTATGTTCTTTCCAACATGGCCACAATGAATAATGTCCTTTCTGGGCTTTTCAATGTTACTTGCTCTTTTCAAAGAAATTGTTTAAGATCTATTTATTTATAGGCAAGGTTTATCTCTGTAGCTTTGGCTGTCGTGGAATGCACTTTGTAGACCAGGCTAGCCTCAAACTCAAGAGATCCGCCTGCCTCTGCCTCCTGAGGGCTGAGACTAAAGGCGTGCATCACCACTGCCTGGCTAGGTTTATTTATTTTTGTGTGTGAATGTGTTGCCTACACATATGTATATATTATACATGGTACTTCTGTAGGTCGGAAGAGGGCATTGGATCCCCTGGAACTGGAGTTATGGATGGTTGTGAGTCACCAGGAGAGTGCCAGGAACTGAACCTGAATCCTCTGGAAGAGCAACAAAGTGCCCTAAACTACTGAGCCATACCTCAGGCTGCCTTTACTTGTCTCTTTAACTGGCATTTGAGATGTGTGGCCAAGCCTAGCTTGTCGGGGCGGCCAGGGCCCAGGCTTTTACCCTATACACTCCTTCCTCTAACAGTACCAGTTACCGGTTACGAGTACTCCACCCTAGATTTCTTTTTCTCTCTAGTAAAATTACTTGGGTAAGGGCTACACAGATGCTGGAAATAATATACTTGTAAATACTACTATTTATGTTTAAAAAATAATGGTCAGAAAAGCAAAGGTAATTCAAGCCCCCGCCACTGGACAGCAGAACGGGAGAGAATGAGCAAACAATAGAGCCTGTGACAGGCAGGGGGGTAGTACTTTTCAGCTACTGGAACCGAGGAGGCAGACTCAGGCCTGTCACCTGGGTTTGGAGTCTAAGGCCAACTTCTTACTGCGTAGCCTCAAGGCAAGTTACCCTGAGGGTAGTGAGCCAACATATCCTCAGCTCTGGAACAAGTCGTACCACGGAAATCATTGACTGTAATCATCATTATTTCTGGATTCAGTCCAGGAACTGACACAGCTGCTCCTGGGTGAGGAAGCAAGGCCTCCTCTGGCAGGAAAGCTAAGCTTCTCACCTTTAATACACTTCACGGACAACAGTAACGTTTACAGCCAACAGTATGGACTCTGGTCATAAGTTGCGGCTACATGGCCTGCCATGTAGTTCCCAGGTTAGCTTAGAACTGGTCACGGAGAACATGAAACGACAAAGTGAATGCGCTTGACTTCCTTTACCGGGGCTCGCCCTCAGCTTGGAAGGGTCCCTTGAAGTTCCCTCCATCATCAAACCCGATCGATGGGGGTCTGTAAGTGACACTTTGCAGTCCCTATCTCCCAGCTTGCTCGCACAGTGTCCACGCTCTTGGCGCCCTCTCACTGCGTCCCATGATTGGCGGTCAGGAAAAATAAAGTTGAACATCCGGTGCTCCTGTGGCCAGGCTTCAGTGTCCAGCTCTACCTGCTTCTTCAAAGTTGGGTCACGGGTGATCTCGCAGGATCAAAGGAAAGGGTACTTACAGTTCTTTCGTGCGGTTCCCCCTCCCACGCCCCCTGACAAGAGGTTCCGGGACTTCAAACGTCAATAGAACAAACCCCTCAGTTCCCACTGCAAATATTGCATAAGTAAGTAGTTCACTAGCTTCCAGGTCTCACTTGAGTTAATTCCACCCCAGGAGAAGGTGGGCACAGAATAGAATGCAAATCTTTTCATTGGGGTGCTGAAATTTTTACCTTGTATTTCCTAATTTAAAATCTGTCATGGGAACCCCCCTTTCTTTTAATTTCTTTATATCTGGGTAAAAGCACTTGCTACCAAGGCTGACAACCTGAGTTCAGTTCCTGGAACCCACACAGAGGAAGAGGAGATACGATTCCTAGACGTTGTGTTCTGACCTTCACATGTATGAGGTGCATGTGTGGGTCCTCCTACATACATACACACAAATAAATAAAATATGAAAAACAAGTTCTTCCCAGAGGTATATACCTGTCTTTAAAAAAAAAAGTAGGCATGGTGGTACATGACTTAGATCCCAGCATTTCTTTTGTTCTTTTTTGGTTTTCTCAAGACAGGGTTTCTCTGTGTAGTTTTGGTACCTGTCCTGGATCTCGCTCTGTAGACCAGGCTGGCCTCAAACTCACAGAGATCCACCTGGCTCTGCCTCTCGAGTGCTGGGATCAAAGGCGTGCGCCACCACCGCCCAGCTGATCCCAGCATTTCTTAATAAAGAGGCAGACAGATCTTTGTGAGTTCAGGCTAGTCTACAAAGCTGTCTCAAACAAACAAAAACCAACTGCAACATGGGCTGGTGAGATGGTTCAGGGGTTAAGAGCACTGACTGCTCTTCCAGAGGTCCTGAGTTAATTCCCAGTAACCACATGGAGGTATACAACCATCTATAGTGGGATCTGATGCCCTCTTCTGGAATAAAAATGTACAGATAGAGCACTCACATACATAAAACAAATGAATAAATTAAAAAAAAATACTGAAGGCCAAAATGACTGAAGGCCAATAGGTCAGAGACTTATCAATCAACCTCCTGCTTCGCTGTAGGATTTTAGACAAGTCAGTCTATGTGCTCTGGTTTCCTTCCTGTGAAACAGATGTTGAAGAATGAGTTAATAAAACTGATACAGTGCCTTCATCTGAGTGTTGGTCCTAAGGCTGACAAAGGACAGGTGGGAGGGAATATCTCTGTGGAAAAAGTGCTTGTCTTGCAAGCAGAAGACCCAAGTTCAATTTCCAGAATCCACACAGAAAATGCTGTGTAGAGGAGGCACACGCCTTTAATCCCAGCACTTGGGAAGCAGAGTCAGCCTGGTCTGCAGGACAAGTTCCAGGGCAGCCAGAGCTACAGAGAAACCCTATCTCCAACAAACAAACAAAAAAGCCACTCATGGCAGCTCACACATGGAGGACCACAGAGCTCCCTGTCTAGCCAATCTAGACTAATTGGTGAGCCGCAGGCCAGTGAGAGCCACCGGCTCAGAAGAAGTGGGTGGCCATGTCTCTAAAGAAGCAGATGGTGTTCCTGATGATGATACCTGAGGGGTTGTACTCTGGCTGCCACATGCTTGGGTACACATGAACACACACATCTTCAAAATAGAATAAGAATGTAAGAAGTTTAACAGAGGGAAAACAGCCACTTTCGGCTGGCCTCCTACTTTAGTGAAATGGTATCTGTGAAGTCCGATCAGGCAGCGGTCCTTATTAATCAATAATTAGATTGATTAATCAATCAATCAGTTCGACACGCCCACCTTTGCTTTTGCCTGAACAGGAGGTTTGATAACATCTTAGAAAAAGTATGAATTCCCTCATCTACTTTTTCAGTAAGTATTTATTGAGATGTTACTGAGTATTGCCTGGAGACTGACTACAAAGAAGCATACTTAACTTGGTTCCCCATTCAACTGTGTGACTTTAGGAAGGCTTACTTAACCTACCCCACCCCCACAGCCTCTATTAGGGTTATCTGAGCGTGTGCCTGTGCCTCTGAGTGCTGGCACCAGAGGCATTGGACTCCCTGGATTTGGAGATATAGGCAGTTCTGAGCCACACAATGTGGATGCTGGGAATTGAACTCTAGTCTTCTGGAACAGTAGGCACTCTTAACCACTGAGCCATCTCTCCAACCCGACCTAATAACTCTTTAATTCAATGATTCACCGTGATCTCCATGTTTCTTTCCCTCCTGCTCACGTATTTTACAAAATCAGTTTTTGTCTTTGGCTTATCTCTATACCTTTCCACCTCTAATCGCCACCCCGCCCCCAATTGCTCCAGCAATTAATTGCATAGCCTTGACTGGATGAACTCGAGATTTCTACCCTCTGTTGTATTTTTTTTTTCAACAGAGTCCCGCGGCAGCGTTGGGAGGAAGTTAGGTGTCATATCACTCGAAATACGAGTTTTATGGGAGACAACAGATCAAGAATAACGAAATTCATTAGCCCAAATGAAACCCTACTTTGTAAATGATGAGAACTGGTTTCTGTCTTGTCAGCAAGAGAAAGGGAGACAAAAAAAGCTTAGCTGGCCGAACTGGGCTACAATGTGAGACTGCCTCATACCGTCCCCCCTCCCCACCCCACACACCGAGTAATCTTCAAAGGAACAAAGGGGAAAGGCAAGAGAAGATACACGGAGTAAATCAAAAGGAATACTCTGCCCATCCCCTCAATCTGTGTTGGATGCAGACCTGCTGTCGACCCTATTGTTTTATGGTCCCACTACACTGCCCAGGCTAACCATGAATTCGCAACCTTCCGGTCTTCCCGTCGAGTCCTGCGACTACATGCCGGCTTGATTGATGCCTACCCAACAAACTTCAGAGAACTTCAGCACAAGGTTCACCTTGAGAGTGTTTTGAAAGATTACCTCAAAACACGCGTTGCAAGGAGAATCAAAGTTGTGCGGGGATGGGGGGTGTGGGGGTTGTTAAGTTTCATCAAGGCTGGTGGTACCTTCGGACTCAACCCATCCCGTTCCACCCTGGGTCCGCGGCTGAGCTTCCACGTTCTACGAACCCGCCCCAATCCAGCCCCCGGGTCTCCTCGAGTGGGCTCAGGGCTCACCGCAGTCCTGGAAGTGCAGGGGCTCGGCCTGGATGGCACCGACGAGCGCCAGCAGCAGGATCGTGGCGGCCAGGAAACGCATCGTGGATAAGACGGCTCCGCAATCTAGGAAGGAAAACGCAGCTGGGGCAGTCACAAGATAAACTTGTCACGGCGGACCGAGGGAGGAGCCGGGTCAGGCCACTTGCGACCAGTAACCAGCGAAGGCCCGCCCGCGCCCCGCCCGGGCTCCAGGGCGCCGGGCCAGCTGCTTGCCCTTTATCTCCGCCCATCTCTTCCGCTCCCAGGCGCTGCCTGCAGAGATCCCGCTCTTCCTTGCGTGCGCCCCACTCGATTGGTCACCGCCCCGCGTTGCCAATTGGAAGCGTCTTCAGCCAATCAAAGCCCTCTGATCTCATTATCCAATAGGCACACTTAGGGGCGGAGACTCAGCGCAACCCCCGCCCCTGGCCCATCTCCCCGCCTCCCGAAGCCCAGGCCAAGGCGGGGATTTGGACCATGCTGGGGGCGGAGCTTACGGGGCAAGATGGCGGCCGCCAGGTCCTTGTCGCTAACGGCCGCGGCGTTCAGGGCGGTCATTCCTTGGCGCCGGGGCAGGTACCGAGGGTGGAAGGTCACTTAGGGAGGGTGGTGGGTTCTGCGCCTCCGGGACGGATGTGAGACTCAAGCTCACGGTCGGGGAGGTGAAGGTTCGGCCGTTCAGATGCAGGCGTCGCCAGGTTTGGGTGCGAGACAGCCGTGGCGGCTCATCGGGTGCCACTTTGGCCCCTGGACTCATCCTCCTCCTCCACACCGCAGGCTCCTCGCGTCCTCTCCCGGGCTTTGGACCCGGTGGGAAGCGACGTCCTCCGTTCCAGAGGCTGGCGAGGGACAGATCCGCCTCACGGACAGCTGCGTCCAGGTAGGAGGCCGGTGGCGGGGCGGCGGGGCCCAGGAGGGCTCTTAAAAGAGTTCCCTGTCCTCCACCCCTTTGTCGCCGCCGGCTTGGCGTTCTTGATCCCCTTTCCTACGTTTCAGAGGCTTCTGGAAATCACCGAAGGGTCAGAATTCCTCAGGCTGCAAGTGGAGGGAGGTGGATGCTCCGGATTCCAGTACAAATTTTCACTGGATACAGTTATTAACCCCGACGACAGGCAAGGAGGACGGATGGGTCGCTAGAGGCTGTGTGTAAGAGGGATACAAGTGACCCCAGTTTCAGATACGCTTTTATTCCAAACGTAAAAGCGTTTAAGGATGCTCAACACCCATCACCCTCCCCATACTGTGAGGGTACGGCAAAGATTTGTCCTCTTGTTTCAAAATAAGGAAGGACATTGGCTTACTTAGAGTCCTTTGGGTAGTCAGTTGAGAGAGGCTGGACTAGATTCAGGCCCAGTCCCTAACTATTTCTCCTATTCATTACATTGAGTCTTTTTGCTTCATGTAAAGTCAGCACCTGAAAGAAGTCCTAAGCAGTATTTCATGTATTGGAGAACAGGATGAGCACCTGTGGTTTCAGTCACAAGGTGTGGGGTCCGTGGCATTTGTGATGTTCGTTATTAATGCTTTCCTCTTGTCTTTACAGGGTATTTGAACAGGGTGGGGCGAGAGTGGTGGTTGATCGCGATAGCCTGGCCTTCGTGAAAGGGGCCCAGGTGGACTTCAGCCAAGAACTCATCCGAAGCTCATTTCAAGTGTTGAATAACCCCCAAGCCCAGCAAGGCTGCTCCTGTGGGTCATCTTTCTCTATCAAAATCTGACACAGTGACAGATGACCTTGGGATTGCCCCCAGTTGTACCAGTGTGAAAAACCTGGGAACAGAATTCTGGAGATTTCTTTCTTATCATGTCCCATTCTCACTTTATTTAATTTAATTTAATCCAGGAGTGTTTTATTTTTACCACTATTAATTATGGAACATGAAGCTTTTACTCTTGGCCACAACACTCTCCCCTTCCCTGGCACAATGTTAAGGCCAAGGCCAAGTGCTGTTACCTCAACTTTAATCACTGGTTGGAACCCAGTATAATCTGTAGCACTTCCAAGACTCCAAAGTTTGGAGTTAACTTCTCTACCTTCAGAATTGTTTGTATATATGTGTATAGCTATGTATAAAGCATCATCTTGAACTATTCCTTATTGTGTTTTCAATCGGGATCACAGTTTGGGTAGCTTGAACACCAGTAACCAGAATGAATTAGAAAGGCAAACGAAATAGTCTCTTCCTCCCTTCCATCTATTATTCTTTCCTTCCTTCCATCCCTCTTAGACATGTTACTACCAGGCCTGGTTCATTCCTTTTTCTTTTTGTTCCTCTTCTCTCTCTCTCTCTTTGTGTGTGTGTGTGTGTGTGTGTGTGTTTGTGCCCCTACCCCATTGGACCTAGGTCATTGTACCTGCTAGGCAAACACTTGAGCACAGTGGTTCTCATATCAGTCACATTGGGAGTCACATATCAGATATCCTGCACATCAAATATTTACATTATGTTTCATAACAGAAGCAAAATTACAGTTACGAAGTAGCAAAGAAAATAATTTTAGGGTTGGGGGTCACCACAACATGAGGAACTGTTGAAGAATTGCAGCATTAGGAAGGCTGAGAACCACTGCTCCAGCACTTGAATTATGTTCCTAGAATACTTTAATTTTTCTTTGGAGACGGAGTCTCACAAAATTTCCCTGTCTGGCCATGAGTTCCCTCTGTAGTTCTGGCAGGCCTTGAACTATCTATCCTCCAGTCTTGGTGTCCCAGTCAGTTGGGATGACAGGCCTGTGTCACCAGCCCAGCTTTATTGCATACATCGAATGGGTTAGGATTTATTCTTGTGTCCTAGGAAGCCATTTTCCACTTATTATAGGGAAAATACATTTTATTTTCATAATCCTGAATCTGCTAGGTTTTATAAACCAAGAGATAACCCCTGGCCCCCCAAAAAACAAATTTGGCCAGACCCCTGTTGATACCCGAATTACTTGAAAAATAGCCTTTCCATGCCCATAGAGGTGCTTTAAGATTCTCTGACCATTTAGTAATTGAATTCATGTAGAATATGTTGCTTCACCTATCTTATCTATAAAATATCTTTGGTTTTATGATTAGGGGAAGTGGTTCCTACATTATTTGTAGGTAATAGAAAGGACTTTTTCAAGAGTGGTTAAATATAAGATGACCAGTAAAATTTGGGTTTCAGATGTACAACAAATTTTGTGTTAATCTTTCTAATATGTATCATACTAGTGTATGTCTATTAGACATGTATTTATTTGCTAAACCTTCCATTGCAAGCCAGTGATCATTAGAATGGAAAGCTGTTTTTGGGGTTTTGTTTTCCAAAACAGGATTTCTCTATATAGTCCTGGCCATCCTGGAACTCACTCTGTAGACCAGGCTGCCATCTAACTCACAGAGATCCACCTGCCTGTGCCTCCCAAGTACTGGGATTAAAGGCATGCACCACCACTGCCCAGCCAAAAGAAAAGCTTTTTTTATAGAACATCAAAAAGTAATCCAATTAGGGAGCTGGAGAGATGGCTCATGGGTTAAGAGCACTGGCTGCTCTTCTGGAGGTCTTGAGTTCAATTCCCAGCAACCACATGGTGGCTCACAACCATCTGTAGTGGAATCTGATGCCTCTTCTGGCATAAAGGTATGCATGCACATAGAGCGCTTATATAAATAAGTAAACAAATTTTAAAAAGTAACTCAATTAACTGCCTATGTAAACAAACAAAATATATCTACTATAAACTGACAATAACCTCTTAACATTCAAATGCTTCAGGCTGGATCTCACCCTGTAGACCAGGCTGGCCTCGAACTCACAGAGTCCACCTGGCTCTGCCTCTTGAGTGCTGGGATTAAAGGCGTGTGCCACCCCCCCCCCCCAGCAAATGCTTGTTCTTGATAAGCTATATTTGCTGAGTTCTTATAACATTTGATTCTGAAGTATGTAAATTGACTTGCCAGGATTAATGAAGTAAAAATATAAATATAAGGGTAGTTTAAACAATGGCACTAGTTTATAGCAATGTATTTCAGTAAGTGGAGAGCTCCCCCCTCCCCCGTGTCTATGTGTATATAGATAAAATCAAAGTCCTTAGGAAGCAGCCCTGTGTGTACATGTATATCTGAAGATGCAGGGCTGAAGTTCCACTTTGAAGAATGTCATTGAAGGGGCTGGCTGAAGAGGTGGCTCAGTGCTTAAGAGCACTTGCTGCCCTTGCAGGGGACCTGGGTTTGAGTCCCAGAACCCACATGGAAGCTCACAACTATCTGTAACTCCAGTCCCAGGGGATCTGATGCCCCCTTCTGGTCTCCTCTGGCACCAGGCACACACTTGGCACATAGACATACATGCAGGCAAAACATCCATATACACAAAATAGAAATAAATCTTTAAAACAAAAGAATGCCACTAGACAAATGATGTATAACGTTCATCACACATCTGTCTCAAGAGCAGCATGTTTTCAAAACTGAATTTCTTTACAAGTCAACCGGAGAGTAGTAACAACTACAGAAACCATCAAGATGAATTCCAGATTACGTTGTGCTCCAAATTATGCTGTGCTCCTGGGCACCCTTGAGTTATTTTAAGCCTTCCATTTTAATCTCGTGTCTCTAAGAACATCTTTGCTTTAATTGGTTTTCTATTTCCATTTTCATCTTCATAATTGGCACAGTCCGTCCTGGCAAACTTCCAATTGTTCCCAGCAAAGTCTCATGTTTTCTAGACATTTCTTTATCTGTTTCTCCATCTTCAAGTTCCACTGTGGCATCTTGATAATCTTCTGCTTCATTCTTAATACTCATCTGAAACGTTAACTTCTCAGCCTCAGGATTGAATCCCTAAATGACATTTGTCCATAGAAAAGATCTCTACAGGACAAGGAGTTCTGCTCTATAATGAGGCTCCCTTTCTTCAAGCTCTGGCAAACCCCAGCGCCAGGGCTCTTCACGAATGGTGTTCCTTGTTTCCTGGGTTCAAGCCCAGTGCCCTTTGCATGGACTTCACTCACTGCAGACTTTTGGATAACATGGTCTTGTATTCAGAAGCCATGAGCCCCACTCCACATAAGAAAAGCTTTTTAAAACAAATTCTAATTTTTTTAAAAAAAAGATTTATTTATTATGTATACAGTGTTGTGCCTACATGCATCCTTACAGGCCAGAAGAGGGTGCCAGATCTCATTACGAATGGTTGTGAGCCACCATGTGGGTGCTGGGAATTGAACTTAGTACCTCTGGAAGAACAGCCAGTGCTCTTAACCTCTGAGCCATCTCTCCAGCCCAAATTCTAATAATTTTTAAGGTGCTTAGGTGTGACACTTAAATGGGCTACAGAACTTGAAACATTTATATTGCAGTGCTGTGGAACCTAGAACTGTTTCGACAAGCACTGGAAAAAGAATCCACACCACTCACAACAGATAACTATCAATACTATGGGAAACCATAGACAGGTGGACTCTGGAAGAGTTACTTGTCAAATGTATCTTCTGCTTGGTTTCCTAAAAGTTTGTTGTAGGAAGAGCTGGAGAGATGGTTCAGGGGTCAAGAATATTACTGTTTTCAGAAAGGACCTAAATTCCGTTCTCAGCACACATATCAGGAGGCTCATAACCTCCTGTACCTCCACCTCCAGGGGACCAGACAACCTCTCTGGCCTCCAAGGTCACATTGCACTCATTTGCATACCACAGGGTGGGGTGGAGGGTATATAAGGCTTGCCTCTTCCTGAGTCTGTGTCGTTGACTCTGTGCTTACTTGGCCTCCTTCCCCAAAGGGAGCAACAGCAAGGACCCTGCCACACACCACAGGGGCTCTGGAATCAAACCCAGGAAGAGCAGCAATGAGTGCTCTTAACCAGTGAGCCTCTCCTCAGCCTCTAAGAGCCTACTCTTCAGAATATTTTTTATGGATTATTGATGTAGCGGTTTTAAAATTCCTAAGCACAATCAGAATAGCTCTTGTTGCTAAATATATTCTCCACTAAATTGCAGTGGCCAAGCAGGCAGAAACAAGGTCCCTTAGAATGCAGAAGCCTGTGTCAGTTGCCATCTGGTAATGGGAGAAATGAATTCTGTGTTTAGAAAAAGGCAGGTTGGGGAAAAACAAGAGCAGCGCTTCTTTTATGCGTGGATCTTATTTATGGGAGAATGTCTCTCAGAGGACTCAATCCTGGAGGTGGGGATTGTTTGGGTGGGAGCTCCACCTCAACCCTGGCCCCCTGGCATCCCTATACCCAAAGAGTCTGGAATGTTTGGAAGGAGTCTGGTGGAAGATCCAACTCAACTCCCCTCCCCATCCCTTCCCCTAAACCCGCCCCTTCAGAGCCCACCAAACACAGCTCCTCCCCCAGAGAGGCTCAAGACCACTCCCACAGGGTGTATAAGCGGCATCCCTGAAAACAGGCATCCCCCCAAAAACAGACACGGTTCTTCTGGTCTCTCGGCCTGTCTCCTCTCTGAAGGGCCAGGAATCCCCTGGAAGGGCTTTACCCATTAAACCTGGGCTTTTCCAATTCGGTCTGATGTGGTTTGCTGCGTAGGCAGAGAGGCCTTCAGGAGGCCTAAAACTTATCAGGGATACTTCATGAGGCAGCTAAAGTGTCCAGAAGTCTCTTGAGTAATTGACACCCATGGTGTGAAGGGCTGACAGTAGCAAGGGACACTGAGCTATTTGGTTGGACTAACAGCATTAGCATTTTCTACAAGCCCTTTCTGATCAAAGGCTCTCTTCCTGGCAAGTCATAAAAGCTTTCAAGTTTTATTCACTGCTAATACATATCAATGGAAAAAACTTTCAGTCATGCTCCACCCCTGGGCCCATTTTTTTTTTCTCTTTCATTTCTTGAGACAGAGTCCTGGTGGCTCACCCAGGCTGGCCTAGAACTCATGCTATAGCTCCAGCAAGACCTGATTTTGCAGTCCTTTTAGGAGTTGGTGGGATTACAGCTGTGTGCCACCAAGTCCAATTTACCATTAGGGGTTTTGTTTTGTTTTTGTTTTTTCAAGACAGGGCTTCTCTGTGTAGCTTTGGAGCCTGTCCTTGAACTCAATCTGTAGACCAGGCTGGCTTCAAACTCACAGAGATCCACCTGCCTCTGCCTCCTGAGTGCTGTGATTAAAGACATGAGCCACCACTGCCCGGCTACATTTTTTTTTTTTTAAGATTTCTATTTTATTATTTGTGTCTATCTGTGTCAATGTATGTCATGTCTGTGAGGGTACCTGTGGAGGCCAGCAGAGGATGCTGGATCTCCTGGAGCTGGGGTTATGGACATTTGTAGAGTTACCCAACATGGGTGCTAAGAACCAAGCTCCAGTTCTCTGGAAGAGCAGGAAAGTGTCTTCACCACTCAACCACGGTTCCAGTCCCACTAGAGCCCCATTGTTCCTTTTGGTCTTTTTGCGACCAGTTTTACTGTGTAGCCCGGGCTGATCTTGTTACACTGTGTCAGTTCACACTGGCCTCAAAGTCCTGATCCTCCTTCCACAGGCTCCTGGGTGCTGAGAATTACAGGCACCTCTTTCCGCAGCCTGCCTGCTCTTCCCATTATTTTAAAGAGGATTTGTCAAGGCCTTAGTTGTCGCAGAATTGGCTTCTGTACAAGTCTGTGCCTGAGCCTCTCCTTTCTCTTACTCTCTGTTGGGGCGGGACTATTGAGCAAGGGGCTCATACAGGCTAGACGTATGACTCAGTCAGGGTTTCTATTGCTGCGACGAAACACCATGACCAAAAAGCAAGTCGGGAGGAAAGGGTTTATTCAGCTTACACTTCCATAGCACTGTTCATCATTGAAGGAAGTCAGGGCAGGAACTCAGGCAGGGCAGGAACCTAGAGGCAGGAACTGATGCAGAGGCCATGGAGGGGTGCTGCTTACTGGCTTGCTCCCCATGGCTTGCTTAGTCTGCTTTCTTATAGAACCCAGGACCACCAGCCTAGGGATGGCACCACCCACAATGGGCTGGGCGCTCCTCCATCAATCACCAATTAAGAAAATACCCTGCAGGCTTGCCTACAGCCCATCTTATGGAGGCATTTTCTTAACTGAGGTTCCCTCCTCTCAGATGACTTTTGCTTGTGTCAAGTTGACATAAAACCATCCAGGATATAGTATATTTCATCTTTAGTCAAAATCATATTAATGCAATCCACAAAGAAGACAAAGGATCTGTGAGCCTACTTTAGGTTGCTATATCCTGGCCAATCTTACTGTGCAATTATACTTTTCAGTTGTATGATGAGGGTGACAAGCATGTGTAAACTGTATGCATTGGCCTGTCCGTATGTTGGGACTGCTGACTGATTTCTAGAGATTGGGAGGAAATCTCTTCAGAAGAGATTAATAAGGTCTGCTAATGCTTGAGACTTGGTTTGCTGAGTGGGGTCATCTTCCACTGGCCATTTAGAACCCTTGCACTGAAATCTTTGCCTTTGTGTATGACAGAAATAACAGATCTGATGACCGCAGCTGACCCCCAACAGCCGAGCCTTGGAAGTCAGTGATTTTTGAAGATGTGGCCATGTACCTCACTAAGCATGCTCGATCAGAAGGCCCTGTACAGGGATGTGAGGCAGGAGGGCTTTGCACATGTGGCTTTTCTGGGGTACATGTCAAAACTAAGAAAACATGCCCACTAGCTGAAAGGATAATATGGGAGGAAAATCAACACCCCTCCAAGCCAGCCCTTCCCCGTGCTGGGAAGACAGGATGAAGGTTTAATTCCTTAAGTATCTGTTTGCCATGGAACAAGCTAGGCCAGCCACGTTAGATGATGCCAAGTGCGATTTCCTTTGGTAACCATGTGTACTTCCATAAATGTGCTTGGCAGTTCATTAAAGTTGCTCATTTTGATGTGGGGGCAGGGGAGAAAGGGGCTGCTGAAGAAGGTGCTTGGGTGACCTTTGCTGTGTGAGAACTGACCTCTGACCTTTGGTCTTTTGTTACAGTGCCTCAGAGGAGGGCTGACACCTAGCAGGTGCAATCAGACAGAAGGAATAGACCAGCCTGATGTTACAGATGTGCCTTCCAGAGGGCCCAATATCGCCCAGCAGGTCATTACAGTTTGTGTGTTTGTCTGAAAGTCAGAGATTTCCTTTGCTTTTCTTGCCCTCTGGGACTGAAGTCTGCAGTTGCTCTCCCAGAGTTCTTCCCCCGTGAAAGCACCACAGAGCTGCTTGATGGAAAGTTGCTTAGGAAATTTAAAAATGATTATTAATTATAAACAACAGGTAAATATATAAATGGAGAAGGCATTGAAGCAATGGTTAGCCAGTAGCTGTATTTAAAAATATTTTATTTTTCTTGAGTGGATAATACATCTACAAATTTATAAAGGGGGCGATACAATGAAAAAGAAAAAAAAACCTCAGTATTTTATTTATCCACCCTGTCACTCTCCCATCAATCATAGTGTTTTCAAGAGTTTAACCCCATAGATAGGAAATAACACACATACAACAGTGCTCGTTACAGCATTATGAACAAAGGTAGGCAACGGGATTGTCTGTCAGTGAGGGACTGGCTGAGTAAGTTATGGTTTATCCATTCCATAGAATAGTATGCAGCTATAAAATGGAATGAGACCATTGATTGTTGTTTTGTAGCTCCGGCTGTCCTAACTCTCACAGTCCTCTTGCCTCAGCCTTCTGAATGTAGGCATTATAGGTGTGTGCTACAACACTAGGCAGCATGAGATAATTCTGTATGAGCAAGTAGAGAAAAAAAAATGTAGCTGGATGTGGTGGTACGCACCTGTAGTTCCAGCACAAAGGAAGCAGAGGATCATTGGTTCTAGGCTAGCTGGCCTACTTTGTAAAATTCTGTTCCAAAGAGAGAAAGAAGAAAAAGAAGTGGGGGGGGGGCACTCTGTAGAACAGCATGCACCATGCGTTATTTCTGTTTTTAATAAAAGGCAATATTTGTATGTGCACATAGAATGTCTAAAGGCTGAACAGGAATACAAGGGGTGGCCGACTCTGAGGGCAAGAGCACAGTGCCATCAGGGCATGCTTGGGCAATGGTAGGGCGTTCTCTGAAGGATGGGTGTGAGGCAGAGTGGTGGGGAGCGGTCCACCCCTCTTTAGACAAATAGCAGCACATCTCCCCCACTGTTCTACAGCCCCCTTCCCCAGTCTCTCGGGATATCTTTCTGGACAGGGTGTTTAGAATGCTATTCTCTTCCTTGAGACTCTCATAGAAGTTGTTTCTAATCTTCTGCTAGTACAAACAGTGCTTTAATAAATAACCTCTCATGTATGTGATTCCGTATTTGGTGAGAATATACCTGAACGTTAAAGTCCTAGAAGTGGAATTTCCGGGTCAAAGGGTTAGCTTTGTGCCTGTTATACCTGTGAAAGACATTGCCATAATGTGCTCTTCAGACGTTGTACAACACACACTTCCAACACTTGTCATGAGTGTGTCTGTCTCAGCAAAGGCTTGCCACCCGCAGTCTGAGCAAACCTTGATCTTAGTCTACCTTTAAAAAGTATCTTCACTATTCTCCCCTCTCCCCTGCTGTTAGGAAGGGAACCCCAGGATCTTATGCACCCCAGGTGAGCACTCTATCAGCTAGCTAAATCCCCAACTCTCACTGCACTGTAAGTAGCCCTTCTGTTAGGAACAAAAGAAGATTTTCATTGGTTTTTGTCGGCTGAGGATACTTCAACTGGATAATGGCCTACAGAAAATTATTTGAGCTTCCTGGGTCTCAGTTTTCTTGCCTGTAAATATGGAATAAGGTAGTAAATGAGATTGTTGTATGATTAAATGGAATCTATGCACGACACTCGTTACAGTGCTCAGGTGTAGCAGGCATTCAATAAGTCACATGGCGGGTGGCGGCCAGAGCAGCAGGCAGGGCAGGGCAGATCAGATTTAAGAAGTAGCAGTCACCTCCATGTCTTCTGTCACATGCAGCCTTGTTACATCACCGCCAGTCAGGGAAATGCAGCGAGTCTGTCTGCCTTGTCTTAGGATAGTATCGGACCTCCCACACTGGAGCCCAGTCACCGAGGACTGGTGGAACTGGACATGGAGAGCACACGCAGGTTCGTTTCTAATCTCACCTTTAGACTGAACCAACATGGTAAGGTTGGCATAACAGGAAAGAAACACAAGCACAAGAGGAGTCCAGGTGAACATTTTATTCCATCATGCTCCTGAACTCCCAGCTAGCCTGGATGGAAGTGCATCTCCTAGAGAGGATTCCAGACACTCATTTTTTTCTGCAGGGAACAAGGGCAAGGCTTTCTGAGTAGAGGAGATCAACAACACTGAAAACGTGGCTTCCTCTGGCAAGACCAAGCCCAACAATTTGGGTTTCACAAAAAGCCCAGAAGAGATTTGGTTCCTGAAGGGAACATGAATAGCTAATGAAGGTCTTTGGAGATGGGTGCCGAGTCTTGTGGCAACCCTCACTACTGGTGCATAGAGGCTATATGGTGGTTTTGAGTAATTTGCCCAAAGCCACTCAGTGTTTTTCGATCTGTATAAATCCTGGCTCCTCCTCTCATGTCAGCTCCCCATGGCTTTTGTATTTCTCTCTCTTGCTGCTTCTCGGGCTCATTTCCCCTCTTCCTTTGTGTTTCTTACACAAAGTCTTCATCCTCTGAGATGAGGGAAACTGGTCCCCTTCCTGGGGCCACAGACTGTCTACAGGGCGGAGATGTGGCAAAAGAGCTCACACCAGATTGCCTGGGCGGTTGTAGTTCGGAGAGGTGGCGTTGGAGCCACCCCCCAAACTTTTCCAAACCCTGTCTTGCTCCACAGATGGTGGAGGGCCATCCCGGGGCAGAGGTAGCCGATGTCCCAGGTGTGGAATCATCAGGACGAGGTGTGGATCACAGCTGGAAAGAGGTGCCTGCAAGTTTCTGCACAGCCTAAGCGGAGTGGATGAGGACTCTTCTGATGAGCCGTCCTACAGTGAGGCCCCGAGGACAGACAGATGGTAGGCTGTGTCTCATGGCCAGTGGCTGAAGCATTAAAAATAGTTGTGGTGTCTGAGCCAGGCAATGGCATAGAGGCTGTGATGGAAGCTCACAGCCAGAGCTAAGCTGGAAGAGATTAAAAAAAAAAAAGCAGGCAAGGCCGACAACCTGACTGCAGAGCCCTGGCCTGATGGCATCCTGCAGTCTTCCCAGCCACGATGTTTGCCCAGCCAGGGAAGCAATCTTAAGTTCCCAGCCTACGGCTGAAGCCATTTCCAGAGAGCTAGCTGCCCACAGTGATCCCTCACGTTTACTCCTTGGCCGCACAGTGTGGGGGGCCTGGCTCTGCCACGTAACCTGGGGAGCAGTGGCAGCGGTAGGAACCCTCTGTGTTCTCACAGTGACCGTGTGCACAGAGCGCGGCAGGCCCGTTCAAGTCCTCGCACTCATTCACATCTGTAGAAGCAAAGAGGGAAGCTGTAGGGAGGGCGCTCTCGGGACCTTCTGCCCCTACTCCCTCACCCTGAACATGCCACCCAAAGGCTGCCTCACCTCCCCGAGCCAGACAACTTAAGGGCAAAAGCCAAGAAGCGGTGATCTCTTAGCGTGCCCAGGACTATGCCTTCTGGACTGTTTCTCTTCTGTTGGGGACCATCCATCGAAGGATGCTTCCGCAATCGCTAGCTCGACACATGCCCACTAGGGGGCAGCAGCGTACTTCCCAGCTTCCCTAAGCGCAGTCCATTTGACGGAGGTCATTCTCTGCTCCAAACTTACCCACGCAGGCCATGTGGGCCGCATCCAGCTGGAAGCCTTCAAAGCAGTCACAGGTGTAGCCCTCCCGCACACGCACACAGCGGCCATTCTCACAGCCATTCAGGACGCCACATTCCTCAGCCTGAAGTCCTTCAAAGGAGGCCAGTGGTTCTAAGGGAGGGTCAGAAGGAACAATACTGAGGCCTGTGTTTAGACCCCCGTCTCTCACTAGGACCTACACCCTCCAGTACAAAGGTTTTCACTGTTGAGTGCCAAGGGTGGGGTTGTGTTGGTTGTGTTGGTGGACTTTTTTTCCCCCTTTTTCTTTTAAGATTCATTTATGTATCCAGTATTCTGCCTGCATGTATGCCTGCACACCAGAAGAGGGCACCAGATTTCATTACAGACGGCTGTGAGCCACCATGTGCTTGCTGGGAATTGAATTCAGGTCCTCTGGAAGAGCAGCCAGTGCTCTTAACCACTGAGCCATCTCTCCAGCCCTCTCCAGCCCCTGTGGAGGTGGATCTTAACAGCCCTAAAGAAAGACACTGAGACTAAAAGCCACACTCTCCTGAAGGTTTAGAGTGACAGCCACATATGGCAGCGTCGGACCCAAGCCTTTCGGAGTTATGTCTTGACTGACCATGACCAGTCAGTGTCTTTCCCCTTCCCTGTCTTCATCCCACCAGCAATATAACTGGCAGGCAGATGGAGGGAACGAAGGGAATAGTAATGCCTATCTCCTCTCCAGTTTTGCTACACATACCTGAATGGCTGGCCACGTAACGGGGCTCAAGTTCAGACGGCTGCAAAGGAGGTTCGAGGACCGGTGTGTTACCTCCCAGCTGACTGGCCGTGCTGGAGAAGGGAGACTCGGGAACGGTGTCCTCTGGGCCCAGGTAGTTGTAGAAAGGGGCCCCATCTGGGCCATAGAGATTGTAGGGCAGATCATCTGGGCCGGGGCCATACTCATAGCCTGGCCGGAAGTGGATCCCTGCTTCCCGCTCTGCCTCAATCCGAGCCACATTGCACAGCTGAGCATAGACTTCTGTTGGGGAGGAAGGAGAAAGGGAGCCGGACTTCAGCTCCAGCCAGCTAAAGCGTGGTGAGCTGGTTCATCGGGCTCTTCGCCAAGAAGAGAACCTGCGGGGATTCCTGACCGCGCTTGTCCCGAACGACCGGGGTGGAAGATGAAGCCACTGTTCAAATTGCTCTCCTCCTCCTTCCAAGTTGATAGTACCCCCTTCCCAGAGCTATGCCCGGACCTGCGGGCACCCTCTTACCAGAGCTCCGAGGGGGGCACAGAGCACACTGCTGGCTCCAGGCCTCGCCATCCTGGCAGCAGCATTCTGTGTAGGTAGTATGGTGCCCGCGCAAGGGTTGGCTGCACACGTCATTGGTGACCTTTTTCCAGCAGATGTCCATGTGGATGTCATGGTCAGGGAAGTCCTCTGGCGGCACAGACCCCGGAAGAATGTGAGTCCCCGGCCAGTTCTGCGCCCCCTATGGTCCACGCGCCCCCGTCTCCTCACCTGAGCTGCTGCTGGTACTGTTCACACAGCGTTGCCCACTGAGGTCGAGGACGAGGGGAGGACTGCAGAAACAGTGGAAGGAGCCGTCTGTGTTCACACACTCTCCATTCTCACAGGCCAAGTCCTGGCACTCATTGTGATCTGTGGCGTCAGGAACAGGTGGAACAGGGTCACGGTGGCCTTTTGACAGACAATGCTCATAGGTGGATTTGCCTCGGGAGGCCGGTGAAGATGCCCATACAGGAAGGGCTCTCCCCAGAGACAGTGTCTGACAGCATAGAGCGCCCCTCACCTCAGACCCGCCTGCTGCAGTGGGCATCCTTCCCAGGAAGGGGGACTCCCAGCAAGAGTGGGACTGGGGGTTAGCAGGCCCGTGTGAGTCCTCACCCTGGCACTTCCTGCTGGAGGCGTCATAATGGTAGCCAGGATCGCACAGGCAAATGTAGCCAGGCACTGTGTTGAGGCACCGGCCCTTCTGGCAGAGAGCAGGTCCGAACAGGGCGCACTCGTCGGCATCTGAAGCGGGGCAGAGTGAGGCGGGAGAAAGAAGGGAAACAGAGTCAGACGCTCTACGTCCAGCTGTTTGAGTGAGTTGGGCAAGTTGCTTAGGTTCTTCTTGACTCGGTTTCTCCTCTAAAATACTACGTAACCTCTTGTAATGAGGATGACGAAATGCTCATACTCATAAAGCACTTTGAATAGTTCTTGGTACATAGCAAACACTAAAGAAAAGCTACTTTTGGGGCTGGGGTGTTCAGTGGTACAGTATCTGCCTTGTATGCATGAAGTCATTGGTTTTATTCCCAGAAACCCTCCTCCTC